ATAAGCAAAAAAAAAAGCCCTCACAAAATCAGCATACAGTGTGGGCCATAGGTTGGACACCCCTGGTATAGCCCCTTGGCTTCTGGAGTCTAAACCAAAAGGGGAGGGAAGAAGGCCTCTTCCCATTTTGCTCCCGGCAGCAGCCAATAATAGTCTGGCTGCAAACTGAAGGGCACTGAACATAATTATTTGCTGCCCCTATAACCTTGAGGGCACATATAATGGGGTTACTCTTGGTAGAAAAGAAAGGTCTTACAATTTGCTTCCCCTCTTTAACCCTGCAGATACCTTCAGCTGCAGCAACATGCAGAGCTGTGCGTGAGTCATAGTCTTTCTGCTCCATATCCATGGCTGACAAGGCAAATCTGCGGGGAATGGAAAGCAGCTAGAGTTATCTCGATCAGTCTGCACTAGTGTCAGACTGGAAAAGGGTAAAAATAGAGCTTATGCCAAGATCTGTAGGCTCTGAAAGATGTGTATACAGTCTCAGATGAGACTGTTAAATTCCCATATCAGTGATATGGGAGTGTGATGCTTCCAGAAATATCACTGCCTACAGTAGGGGTCCAGTACGTACTTGCTGATGTTGGTAGTGCATTTGCCATTTAACTGTTTTGCTATGTTGTCTTGTTTTTTTTCTTTTTTTTTTAAAATAGAGACAGTTTCACTTTGTCACCCTCGGTAGAGTGTTGCAGCATAACAGCTCACAGCAATCTCCAGCTGTTGGGCTTAGGCGATTCTCTTGCCTCATCCTCCCAAGTAGCTGGGACTACAGGCACCGTCCACAACGCCCAGGTATTTTGTTGTTGTTGTTGCAGTTTGGCCGGGGCCAGGTTCTAACCCACCACCCTCAGTATATGGGGCCGGCGCCCTACTCTCTGAGCCACAGGTGCTGCCCTATGTTGCCTCTTAATAAGATCTCTCAGCAGGAGTATTTTATTGTGTATATTTGGTCACAGAATTACCTTCGAAGAGCTGAGACATCTCCACTATAGGCAGCAAATAACAGGTTCACCACAGTCTTATTCTGGAACACAAATTGTACCCATGTGAGATTAACTGTGGCTTTGAACCTGTGCTCAGGTCTGCCCGTGACCCTTCTCCATGGATGTTCAGTCAAGGTTGTTCATTCAGTCAATATGTTCTCAAATATTCTTACAAGTCATCTGGGATTTTCCTTACCCGAACTTCTCCCCCTTCACGCCGTGGGTCTAACTTCCGAGCACAGTGCCGCAGGTTGTCATAGTTGTGGAAATTGAAGAGAGACACCAACTTCTAGAATTGTTAGCCAAAGGTCTTATTTGTTTACTCCTTGCACTTAGCAGAAGCTCAAAATTGCATTGTTTACTTAAATGCACCACTAAATAAATTTATCACTTAATTAAAGAATCTAAGTGCTATATGCAAAGCAATTCACCTGGCAGAAGCTAATGCCCCTCTGGCTGTTCCCCAGCTTGTCCAGTGGAGGTGACAGACACATCATTCCCATGACGTTGGGTACCACCAGGAGTATGGCTCCTGACACAGCTGACTTGGCTGGCAGGCCCACCTGGAGAACAAAATTGAGGGTAAGCTGGGGGTGCCCCAAATCTGAGAAAATCAACCAGTAAGACTATAGCAAGTGACTGCATGGGCAAGGCTACCACCCATCTCAACCTTTTCACTTGTTACTTAGCTTCTTTTCTTTTCTTTTCTTTTTTTTTTTTTAAGGGACAGTCTCACTTTATTGCCCTGGGCAGAGTGCCGTGGCATCACAGCTCACAGCAACCTCCAGCTCTTGAGCTTAGGCAATTCTCTTGCCTCAGCCTCCCAAGTACCTGGGACTACAGG